AAAACAAAGCTCTTTTTTCCAAAAAAATATATGGCAGGTGGTTTTGTTGGTCTTGTTTCTGATTTCTCTGCTGATGGGACAGCATTTAATTAGCAATTATGCCTATTAATGCCAAGAAAGTGGCCATGATATAGCTGCTGAGATTTTGTTAGGCTTAGAACAACAAAGTAAACCGGGTTCCTCCCTTCAGCAGGTCCCCACGGGCAGCCCCCAAAGCATCAACATAGCTTGAAAAGCTGATTTTCAGAATACTGAATCATGTGTTGGCCTTTGCTTGGAGGGATTTTTGGATAGAAGTGGGTCACATTTTCAAGCTTTTAATTGCCTTTACAAGGAAGAGGAGCACATTAAAGGACACAGACTTTCTTTGGAGCAAGTGTTTCCAATACTTCTGTGGTGTGGGCAAAACGTGACTGTCCCAGTCAGTGTGAGAGGAAACCTTTCCCTTCTCCATGCACAAGACCTTTCCTACTCCACCGAGCTCCAGTTTGCGGTGTGGAAGGAATTAGGTGCACATACAAAGACAGGATTCAGGTGGCCACTCAGGCTAATTGAAAAATATCAAACCAAAGCAAGCAGGGAAAATGAAGAAGCAGCAGCAGCTCAAAAAGCTCACAGGGCACCTGATCTGAACTGGAGCATTTGCTGTGGGAAGGGGAACCAGTTTCCCGTAAACATGATTCTAGCCACGAGAAATCTTTATTGCATGTCAAAAGATCCGAGCTGCAAAACATTTCTGTTCTTTTCTTCCAGTATGTTTTGTCTCCTTGTGCTCTGGGAACATCTTGAATAGCTGTAAATAATTTATATCTTACAGTGGCACATTAAATCACTTGGCTGTCAGAGCAGCTTTGAAACACAGGGTCCTTGGGTCTGCCCTGGATAATGAAGGGAACTCCTGAATCTTCCAAGTGCCAACAGGTTTTGCTTTTATTTCTTGCCACAAGGTGATATACCGCTTGTTAGGACATGATGCATCTGTGAACGCTTGAAAGCAGGCTTAGGCTGATGAAAAAACAACCACCACCACAAAAAAACCCACCACAGCCTGATGAAAATACTCTCCAAAATCTGTTTGGTCCTTGGAAACCCTGACCAGTTGGGGCAGCAACCCTAAAACTGTCCAATAAAGTAATCCTTGCACTGGATCAGGAAGACTATACGTATTTTTTGTGCAGTGTTTCTGTGCTGGAGAAGATTATAAATTACAAGTCACATTTAGGGCCTGCGACTCAGCTGCTAAGTTTGCAATGTCAGCCACATCCCAGCATGGCCCTAACTGACCCACCTTCCAAACTGCGTGGGTGACACTGGAAAGGCTGTGATAAGACGTCACTAATAAAAGGCCTTTTGAAACCTTCAGAGAAAAATGCTACTAAATAGACATTGTTGCTGCCTTTATTTAAAAAAAAAAATGTATTTTCCATACTTTCCAAGGACTTTTACTCTGAATAGCTCAGCAGGGCTTTTCTTGCAGACTTATTGTACTTCTAAAAATGCAAATTTGCATAGATCACCATGCAGAAAAGGCCACGAGCAGAGGGAAGAGCCTACCACACAGACCACTTATCCACGTTGTAGTTTGTTTAAAATTTAAAATGCAAATTTGCATAGATCACCATGCAGAAAAGGCCACGAGCAGAGGGAAGAGAAAGAAAGGTACAGGCTGGAGAGTAACGTAAGGAAAGGAACAGACAGGACAGTTACAGTTCGAGGAAAGATGGATGAAAAAGGAGCGAAGCAGAAATGAAGTGCAAAAGGAAAGCAAAGGTTGTCATTCAGTGACTGCAGCAGTGCAAAGGTATCATCCACTGCTGCTGTTTGATTGCAGGGCCAATTACAGTATTTGCAAAAGCGAGGGTGAAGGTTTTCTCATCTCTGCTGGGACTGAATCTCCTTTTTCAACATTGTCTCTGTGGAAGGGAGCCTTTGCTGAGCACCTGGCAGCGGCACAGGGCTGGCGGGAGCAGCTTGCAGCCAATGCAAGATGCATCTTTCAAATGCAGGCTTTTTACTAGGGACAACCACTTGATCCCGCTAAAGAGTGCAAGACCCCGTAGGAAAAGCGATGTTCTGTGGGTTTAGAGCAAACTGCCATAAAGCAAAGCGTCTTCTGCAGCTCAGGCACCGCTCTCCTCAACACCCAAGGAGCCGATTAGCCTGGATGACACAGGCCGGGCTGCAGTGCACATGGCCCTTTCTTCCTTTGTATTTTCTAAATCAAAATGACATTGAAGGCAGAGGCTCTGCCGCAGCGCAAGGACGACAGTGCCCTCTATTGTCACCGTGCTTTCCAGCACCTTCCTTCCTTCCTCCAAGGGCTCTGAAGAGACGCCTCTGCCTCGCAGCCTTGCCTTTCAATTCCTTTCCTTGTTGCACAGTGACGGCAACCCCAAAATTTACTCTAATTCAAGCACAAGCTCTCTGTATTTCTCCAAGTTAAAATGGAGCAGGGGATGCTGCAGCCGCTGGATTTCACAGCTCCATGAGAAGCCCAGAGTCACACAAATTGTCTCATGAATGAACGTGTGGTATAAAAAAGGAGTGAGGTGCAAAAATGTTTGAAGTGGAATGGCTTAAAACCAGGGGGTGCCGCAGGCCCCACACAGGGCCCTTGGGGCCTCCCCAGAGCCTTGCCCACTGCCCCAGGAACTCGCTGGGCCTTGGGGCCAGCACCGAGGGGCACAGAGCGCCTCCCCCGACCTCTCCCAATTGCTGGGCAGGAATCGGCCTGAGGCCGTGTCCGGATCCTCTTGTGTTTCCAGAACAATCGGGAAAAAGCGCGATTGTACCCACGGGGCTGTTGGAAAAGAGAAGTTCCTCAGCACAAACGGCAGCCTGAACGCCATGTCGAGACTTCAGGCTCTGTTCGTTCTCAGCACACGCACATGCGAACCATAACCGTTACAGCGTGCACCAAGGCCTATGTGGGGAAATCCTCCCCGCCCAAGGGGCCTCCCACCGCACCCATCACACCGGCGGGGGGGGAAATCCCCCCCGCCCAAGGGCCCCCCCCCCGCCGCCATGACACCGGCAGCGCCCCTCCGCCAGCCCTGCGCCTTCCTCACTGGCTGTCCCCGTCCCCACAGCAACAAGCAGCCTGGAGGCGGGTGCTTGGCAGACGCGTGCTCCTATCCAATGCGTCCTCGGGGCGGTTCCGCGCTCTGATTGGTGGCTGTCAGTGAGCGGCAGCGAGGGGCGGGCCGTTCACCCGTTCCCGCCTCGGGTTTCCCTCCGCGTGGGGGGACCCGCCTCCTCATTGGCTGCTGCCGTTGCCCCGGCGGCGGGAGGACTCGGCGCGGTCTAACGGGGAGCCGGGGCTTGGCCTGAGGGACGCCCCGGCGCCATGGCGAAGGCCGAGCCGCTACTGACCAAGGAGCCGGCGCGGCAGACGATCCCCACCTCCGACCTGCCCATGAAGGTGTACGAGGTGGCGGTGAACACGGGGCCCGACTCCTCCGGCGCTCTAGCCACAGCTGGCTTCCGCACCGCCAGGTACCTGCCCGCCGAGTGGCACCAGAGCAACCATGATCTGTACCACAGGGCCTTTGCTGGCTGCGAGCTGGCCGAGCGTGGCCAGGCCGAGGCTAAGGAGCTGGTCCAGAATGCTGCTGCCGCTGCCCAGCGTGCCCAGCAGGAGTCCACGGCTGCCCTGGGCCTGCACCTGAAGGACATCCACTTCTGGAAGTCCAAGCTCCAGAAGGAGACTGAGGACCTCGATGCTGAGACCAGACTATTGGAAGATCAGAAGCTGCGGCTGGAAAGGGCGCTCGATACCACCCAGTTGTCCTATGCCATCACCACCGATAACCTGCTGTGTCGAGAGAGGAGGCAATCCCTGGACCTGGTCAGGGATGAGGTGGAGAAAGAGCTGCTGAAGGTGAGCAGGGCATTAGGGTGTGAAGGGTTGTTGGCAGCCCTCTGTTAGTGCTGGTCTCTGAAATGGTGGACAGCTTGGTCAGTGGGCGATGGCTGCAGCTCATGAAGGTATGTCCTGGCAGTGCACAGAGGCCTAGTGCCCCTTCCTGGCAGCCTGGACTCTGTCTGTCGCTCAAAAGTTTAGGAAGGCTTACTTAAAATCCTCCCTCTGTTTAAAAGGATTTAAAATCACACAAGTATGACTAGAGGAGACCAGATCCCCTCTCTCAAACCAGTTCTGAACAAAATCAAAACAAACATTTGATTTCCAGAGCATTAAACCTTTTCTAGCCCCTGCTTGGATTAAAGTCCCCTCATCTCTGCAGGTTACACTTTAAAAATGCAGTACCCCATGAGCAGACGATTCAGGACCAGTGAAATGCTCCTTGCTCGTTTCCATGCCCAAGCTGCCCAAGTCTGGCAGTCTCTGCCATTACCTTTGACTGCTGAGTCTGATGCTGTAGTCTTGACAAGGTTCATGATGAGCTGGTGCTCCAGCACTGAACTGCAGTGTCTCAACACAAGCCTCCGTTTTAAATATCCTGCAGGACTGCAGCGTGGCTCTTGCTGAACCGTACAATGTCATCGTGTGACACCTGCCTGAGATGACAGCTCCAGGCACGCGGGGGGTTACAGCCAGATGGTGTTTGTGACAGTGGGACTTCAACAAACAGGAGACTCTCCCAAAATTGGCTCGATCCTTCCCATAGAGGACTCTGCTCCAGCTGACACTCTGTTAGCTGTCACTGAGATCCAACACTGCGTGTAGGTTGCCTTCAAAGCTGGTGTAATTCTTTTGGCTGCACATGTTACAGAGAACAGATTCTGGGTCATTTTTCATTCTGGGATGATGCCTGTTCTAGTGTCTCACCAAGAAATTAATGATTATTTGCCTGCAGCCTCCAATATATTTCACTTGCCTTGTGAAAGTTGATTCGTGATGAGTTACAGATTAAACCAGGTGATTAATATTTGTTGTTAGAAAAATACTGAAGAGACTTACACAGTTGATGGCGTGACAGTTTTTGGCAATACCTTTAACAGGAATTGTGTACAATTGCTGAATTGCAATCAATATTTCAGAGGTTGTTCCAGTCAAAGATTGAACGTGTGAGCGTTGGTGTATGGGGTATTTCAGTGCGTGAATCGTTACAGGATTCACATTACAGAAAAGAAATTCTTTTCATCAGCTGCTGATGTTTCAGAGAGGTCTGTGAAATGTAAGACTTACACCAAAAGAAGTCATTTTCTGTCAGATTTCTCCCCTGTATTTTCTTTCCTCCTGATGTCAGAGAATTGTTCATTGCTCAGAAGTCCATCTGCTGCTGCTGCTGCTGCTGCTGCTGCGAATTCTTCACCTGAAATTGCGGTTGTCTCCTTGCGACGACCGCCCGTCAACAGCCAAGTGGGATGGCATCAAAAAAGCATGATGTGAGTTCAGACGAGGCGTGTGTACCAGCAGCAGATGGACTCCTGAGAAATGAAGATTTTGTTGCCATGCCAATGACCTTTGCAGTGCAGAAGGAAGAGGAGCACATAATATCTGAGGAAATCCTTCCCACTTTCACAGAGGAATAGGTTTTGTGGCATGAAGGTTTGCAATAGATGGAAAAATGTGCGTTGTGTGGCTTTGCCAGCTCTTTAAGCTGCAGCTATGCTCTATACCTCTTTCACGGCAAGAAATCAGATGGTAATTTGTACTTCTTACTCTCTCCAAAACTGGCTAATAATTCTAGACACTCAGAGCTGCTCTGCCGTGAATTCAGACTGTTCACTGCGCAGATTTCGAAGTTAATGGCCCAGTTCACTGGTAACTCTGTGCTACAACATTTTATTTGCAGGAGTTATGCAAGTTTAATCACTAAAGCACTTATATAATTTTTCTGAATGTTTCTTGCTTGTCCAGTCACTTTCTAATCTTAACTTTTAATGTAAGAACATCAGGAGTAATTTATTCTCTTCCCATGCAAAAACTTGGAAAAAGAAGTTTCCATAACTCTGCTACGTGAGGGGACAGACATTCTTTTCCTTGCAGTTTCAATTACACCATTAAGTGATATTCTAGGGCATTTTCCTTCCTTTGAAATTCTTGCTACCCTTGAAGCAGCCCAGGCTTGTGGTGCTCCATTCTCTGGTATCTTTGTCATGTTCCTGCCGTGTCCCATGGACAGGAGCATGGGGGAATCTGCAACTGGGGGACGAGCGTGTCTGGACGAGGGACTCCCTTTCACAAAGTCATGGAAAAGCTTTTCACAGGACATAGGTTTTGTTCCTCCTTTCAGCTTTCTGCAGCAATGAAGAACGTTTCCCAGTTCCCAGAGCATCCTGCTGAGATAACCACCGCGCCGCAGAGCCCTTGGCAGATGACATTTAAAGAGACAACATCAAATACTCACACACAAGCAGTTTTGAATCTCTGCGTGTAATTGCACTTTTATTATCTCTTCAGTAGGAGTTGCTTCAGATGGCACACAAAGAAAACAGAAGTATCCCTGATGAAGGTTTTATACATCCAGATGATATTTGGGGTTTTCCTATTTTTTTTGGTTCACCATCTATTTTAGGAAGTTTTGGTTCCAACGCATCTGTGTTATTTGCTTTGCAGCATGGAGTATATGCAGTGTTTAGATCACTTATTGTGATATGAGCCATCACTAAATAGCCACTTCTGGAATGAGGGATGAGGGTATTTAAGTGAAAGCTCCTCACATGCGTAGTAAAATCAGCTGTTACTCAGAAGTTCATTGACTCCACTTAACAGCATATTCATCTTCATGCAGTTCTGGCTAAGAAAAAGAAGCTGAAGGACACAATTGTTTTTCCAATAAAGAAGGATCTTTGATGACTGAAAAGAAGATAAAATCTCTCAAATAGAATAATTTTCTTTCTTTGTGCTGCTGCATTGGAATAGCTGAATTCAGAAGAAGCAGTACATGCATCGGTTTTGTACAAGGGTTTTGACTTTCATAACCCATTTGACATCTCCCCTGAATCCCATCAGTTTAATGACATTTCAGTATGTTTATGTGCACGCATTTAATACTGAAAACGTAAGCCCCAGCAAAGGACTTGCCACGTGGTGGTGTACTGTCAATAAATCATGTTTCAGCTGCATATATACTGCATTTCAAGGTTATTTCCACATGTCCGGGGTCCAGACTCATTAGCTGAGTGCCAGATATGACTGTGGAATAAGTGGATGTACTTACTTTTATGCCATTTTTTTCACCCAAGACTCATAGTGTTGATTTGTTGTGTGTTTGCTGCAACAATGAAGTCAGCCCCAGCTATCCCCTGATGCTGAAGACAAAGGCGTTAGCCAAGATCCTGTCAACTGTGTAAAATTAAAGTTTAAAAAAGTGGAGAAAGGGTACATATGTATGTATTTATGCTGACTACAGGAACGGGGCAAGAACAATAACAGAATACCATTTGCAAACACCGTGATCTGTAGCTTTCCCACGTGAACCGGTGCACAACAGGACAGTCCTGTACTGAGACAGCTCGGTTAAGAGCGCAGGGCTGGTTTTCAACATCTGCAGATGGTGGATTTTGGAATTACTCCTGGACACCAGCAGGAAAAAGGCCAGAGCTGAGATCTGGAAGACTGTAATGAATGTTCTGTGCTGTTTGGGAGTCTAAACCCAGTGAGATCTGTAAGCTGCTTTGCTTTTCTTTGCCGTGCTGATGTGCAGAACATCTGGCGTCGTGCTGTTCCTGATGGATGGATGATGGATTTGTAATCCTGGGCGACTGCACGGCCTCCCTCCCTGGGTCCTATCAGTTCCTCCTCGCTTTCGTACTGCTCTGGCCCTGGGTGCTGTATTTAGACGTTGCTGACATCTGCAACTCACTGATGTGAAAAGACAGGCTGCAAAAAACCCCTGAATTTGTCAATTCATGCAAGGCGCAAACATCTGCTCTGAGATGTTTTCTTTGCACCATTAATTAGGCACTTACTAAGTCATGAACTGGGATGGTTTTATCACCAGATTTGAGGAAAATCCAACTTTTGCATCATAAACATTAAATACTGTAATAAAATAAATGGCACGCTAAACTGTAAAATGTTCTCTCCCTGTTAATTGACAACCATTTATAATACAGACGTTTATTATTAGTATTAACTGTGGAGAAGACAGCTGAAACCGAGCCAAGATCACTGCGGATTTGACAGTATTTCATTTTAATAGACAGTACACAAAGACATAAATGGGAAAAATAAGGAGAAAAAAGAGACGTTTCATCCACCAAGTCCTATCATGAACTGAAGAAATGCAAATTCAAGTTACCGTTGTCCTCTGAACCAGAGATGCTACTAGCTACTAAAACGCTTTCACATGCTTTTACTCTCTTAATGCAGACTGAATTGCCAATGCAAGTCTGTGCACAGACTAAATAAAGGTCATCCATTCTGCCACGGTTAAAACCCAGATCACCACATGTCAGACAAACTGTGCTTTTGGGGCTCTGCAGGGATCTGTTGGGCAGCCTCTCCCTTGCATACAGATAAAATGCTTCCTGCAGAGCAAGGCAGCGGGCGCTGAAGGCCTCTGCAAGGGCTCTGAAGGTATCTCTGGAGGCTCTGAAGGCATCTCCAAGGGCTCTGAAGGCATCTCCAAGGGCTCAGCAGGTTCTGGAAGGCAGTGACTTGCAGAGAAGCTGATCTACTGCATCCCATGTGCAAGGCAGCAGCCTCTGCAACCTGAGTTTGTTCTTGCAGGGCAGTGTCCTGCTCAGTTTTACTGCAGCCCCTTGTGTTCGTGCAAGGCAGTGACTGATCTCCTGCTGAGCTTGATGCTGTTGCTTGTTTTCCCTACTTCAAGGCGATGCAGGTAACTCAGCTATTCTGTTTAATCTGGTGGAATGTAGACTTTCTCACAGAATACACATGCAATATGAAGATAACGAATCCCCAGGCTTTAGAAGCATTCAAAGTGTTGCTGCTGCCTTCGACTCACAGCTGAGTCACCTCAGTAGCTGCTAACTGCTCAGAAAATCGTGTCTTGCGATAACAGGGTAAGAGTGGGTAATGAGCAGAAGATTTAAGTATTTATCCACAGCCATTGAAATCAAATTGCTCTGCAGGGTAGCGTGTGCTGCTCTGGATATCACAGAAGTCTCAATGTTTTTACTTAGGAAGCTGAACTTCTCAGAAATGTCCAGGAGCTTTTGAAAAGAACTTTGATGCAAGCCATTAACCAGATGCGGTAAGATGTTTTTCACAATGCCTTAGGAGCTAATTTCTATAGCTGAATTATATCTATATAGCCAAATAATTCCTGGCATATAGGGGTACAGTGCTCAATGGATAAAGGTCTTACCCATGCCAGCCTTATGAGCCATGTCAAATCCATTTAAACCTTGAAAGAGATACTGAGGGGTGAAACTGGAGGATTTTCAAGCAGGGTAAGGTAAGAGAAGAGCCATGCCCCAAAGCCATGCTTTAGATTTTCACTCCTGGTTTCCAGTGTGTGTATTGTGTTCTCTAATTTTCCAACACTACAGTGAAATAAAAGTATTATCTGGATATCGCTCTACTTTGCTCGACCTTGTGATATATTTAAAATGTGATAATTTTATAATTATTTATCTGATCAAAGGTCCTTTTCAAGATGAGTTTTTTGCCTCCAGTTTAACTTAAAATATGAAACTTCACTCTACTTTCAGTATCACTATGGATGCTCATTGCATTTCAAAAGGAATATTTGCTTTTAATTTAGAACAAGCCCTTTGGAAAGATGTTACCCAAATCCTAAGGTGCATCATTATGAAGGATTTGACTGCTGGAAGCCTTGATATTTTATTTTTTAAGGTTTTAAAAATCTGCTCCAATTTGAGCTCTTCTACCAGATAAAATGCA